GTGCCAGCCTCCAAATCTATGTTGTGTTGGTTGAAATCCTGGTTATTTTTGTGTGGACCAGGGGGTGTGGTGGAACGTTAAGGTGAGGATCCGTCCGAGCCATCCACCTGCGGCCTCCCTCGTCTCAGGTCTTCTTGACTCTGTCTTGACACCGTGCTCGGGCGAGGGAGGTGGAGAGAGTGTAGGTAGATGCAGCGCAAGTCTACTGGCACTATAAACCCCTGCGCAAGTCACCGTCCCTGCTCCAACCTGCTGTGGGGCACACGTGGACATCATCGAAATCGATGGTCGAACTGTCATTAACCGGTGATTTCTGTCACATACTCTGATTGTCTGAACCGTTTTATTGGAATTATGATTGATAATCCAGAGGATTCTAACTCCGTGTTAGATGATGACCCCTTTGTGGGGAGAACTCCAGGCGCAACTACGTCGTTACCTACGCCGTCTTCCGGAGATAAAAAAGGTGAGTGCGGCATGGATACTACAAGGTGGTGAACTTTCAGAGGGACGGGTAACATCCTTAATAGTTCTTACTAATGACCTAATGTGCAAAGGTGGAGGATCAGGAGTTCTTGTTTAACAGCAAAGTCGAACAACAACAGAAAGCCGGAGCTGGAGCGTTCTATTTTCCTGCCTTGGTTAATTTTCCAGCGTATTTATGGTACTTCAAGCGTCAAATCACCCCAAAGATTCAAGTCCAGCGTTGTGATTGGTTGGAAGGCGCTGTGAAGAGAAAACAAGCAGGCTTGACTCACATTCATTCCACTTAATTTGTACATATAGCACGTTTTTATTCCAGGTATTTTCATTGGAAGTCCAGATGATAATAAGCAAGACACCACATTCTAATTCATTATTCTACATAGTTAAAGTTGGTCCTTCAAATACCAACCCTATAAATGGTTATAATGATTGCTCACGCCCCGCAGGGCTTTAGTGCACCACAAGTTTGTCGGGGTTGTTTGAACGAGCTGAGGTCGTTTTTGGCGCCGGTCCCGGACGGGTCTGGTGTAACCGTCTGCCGGTGAAGGTGTGTAACATCCGTTCCGGATGGACCACTAGGAGGCGAAGCGATATCGGATGGCGACAGTCTCCTCTTCTTTACAACCTCAAGGGTTAATTTGAGGATCTGAACACGGAACATCCAACATTCTTTACAGACAGTCTCAAACACATCTGGGTTGGACGTTAGGTGGGAAGAGTATATATATAGGCAGGTGCTGAAGATAAGGTTTATTACGACAGAGTATGTTAACGTGTGTAGACGTCAGTAGAAAGCGAATAGTGAATTTAGCTCAGGAACTAACAAAATAGGCATCGTTGAGGAAATATGCACATACATCAGAGCAAAGATTTAATCCAGAAAAAAACAGATGGAAAACAAAATGTAACACTGATCAACAAAAGAACAAACATAAGGAATGGGGGTGGAATTTATCGGGTATGCAGATCGCCGGCTTTGATCGTGCACATGTGGCGAGCTTTGTCCGGGATTCTCCTATGCTGTATTTGGTCTGTTACCAACTGCTATGGCAGCCAGGACCCCCCTATTTGTAGTCGGGGCATGGAAGATGTGCATAATAATTGTTAATGTACGTGTAGAATGAGACAACCTGTCTGGATGGAGAGGCGACCCTGACATGTTAGCCAAACTGTCGGTGGGGATGCGGCGTTGTGGGCAACTGCAGGGAAGGGCCGAGGGGGGAGCCGACGTTGAGAGAGACGAGAACGGCGGTGCGTTGTTGGAGGGGGTGTCGGCGGTAGCGAGAGGAAGGGACACTGGCCGTCCTCACAAGCACGAAGTTACATCATCGCCA